CCCTGATACAAAGAACGGAGCGTTCCCCCGATCGAGACAGCAGGAATCCTAGGTGACGCAGTCGGACTTTTGGGCCTACAGGTAGTGAACATTTGGGCTTACTGTTGAATAAGCAGGCTCTCAGGTCTGGCTGATAAACTATTGTGAACCAGGCACTTGGGATAGCTTCAGGCATCGACAGGCCACAAATCTAATTTCGTGAAACATCCGAAGAAATGCTTATGTGCTGGAGAGGGAAATTCAAACGTTCCCTTTCGCATCATCGTTCTGCAGAAAGATATGCTTACACCAAGTCGCCCCTATTCATCCTCATTGGCTTGCCATGAAGGATAATTTCGGTTCAACACCAACAACCTATAATTATTTCTTTCAAGTGATTAACTGAAGTCTATCGAAGTAAAGTAATAAGTCACTAGAATCAGAAGTCGCAGACGCGATCGCTGAAACTGGAAGTTTATTTGCCTGACGTTTCAGATTCTGTCTTGAACACTTCCTCAAAGATAACCGCAGAATAGGGTGATAAATGCACAAGTTACGCAATATTTATAGTCCGTAGCGGCCATTCGAACGCATCTATCACCCTATTCTGCGATTATCTCGGATGAAGGGTACAAGAAAGAGTCCGAAACGTCAGGCAAATAAACTTCTAGTTTCAGTGATGCATCTTTAACTTCCCAAAGAGCAGCTGCGAATTCATTGACCTCACAGTCTCCAAACATGCACAGTCAGGCGATCACAACAGCCCACCTGCCACTTGAAGACGCCAACCTTAGTCGTCAAGCTTTGAAATGTATCGTTGACCTCGGCCAGGGATAAGACTCCACATGGTACCTCTTAAGGAGTGTTAAACCCTCAGCAAAAATAGACCAGTTTGAAATTTTGAATTTTTCTAACCGCCGGTTTTGAATATAGTCAGGAAGCATATGTAGCCGAGACCGAAATTGAAGAATGAAAGATCTGCATCCTTGTCTTTTGCCTTATTTAGACCTACTGTTGGACGCTTAGTTAGATGCGTACTGTCCCTGGATCCCCTGTTTATCACATTTTATTGCAAATGGTCTGCTGTCTTGGGACATTTAGTGGGATAAAAACATGGACATCCAGATGCTATCTGAGTTAAAACGGGCGTAAATTATGTGTGCATTTAAAGGGCACTTGGGATCTGGTATTGCAAAAGATAGGAGAGTAGCGGACAGCCGGCTTTGTGCTCGCTTCTTCCGACAATCAGGCCGAGCGATCTTAGGAAGCTCGGAACGACTTACGCCCCAGGACGGCTGACTCATCTCAGATTTCCGAAAACAATGATGCAATTAATTATCATATCCTAGTCCACTGTTTTGGATTTTGGAGCACTGGAAGAAGAAGAGGCAAACTCCAGGAATTAAAATGTTTTTCTCAATGCAGCCGGCGAGTAAAAGGGAATGCACACAGTAGGAGGAGATATCTTGCGCGAAGAATTTGAATGGTTCACAAGGGGCACATCTTT